CTGCCGCTAAATCACCCACCCAAGACAGGGCACTTCTCTTCCCAGTTCACCTGGGGTGGTTCCCTGAAAGGGGAAGAAGCTTGTAGAAAACTACCTGAGAAAGAGCCTGTTGTTGCGATCCAGAAAGGGAAACAGAGCTACGCTGTCATACTGATAAAGGTTGGACAGGCTACAAGGCATACTAAGTATTACAGATGCAATGACATATTGTTTCTGTCACGTGGGGTAAACAAGGCTGGGCTACATTTTGGAGTTTGTTCTTGAGAGGTCCCTGAGCCTCCCTAGCTGTGGCCTACAACACTATGGGGCTGGGCAGGTGTGCGTGAAGGTGACCCTCATGTGTAGGGGAACCTGAACCCCACTTCTGGCTGTTCACAGCATCTAGGCCTCAGTGAGGTGAGACAGGACAAGAAAGCAGGTGTGGGGCTAGATGGTGATCTACCTTGTTGGCATAATAATTTACAATGACCTTTGTGTTTTGGGGGGAAAACAATATTAAGTGTGTGTTTTGGGGCAGTGGTAAAGCAGAGACTTCTGCATCCAAGTGATGAGATAGGGAATGCATGTCACACTGCTATAAGCATGGAAAGGAGGACGGTGCCCAGACAGGTGTGGCCTTCATGGAGCTCAGAGGCTGGGTGGGGAGGACAGAGTGAAAACAAGTGAGCAAGTACAGAAGGGTAACTACAAATTGTTATAATACCTGTAAAGTAGAAAAAGGTGCTGAGAGAGAGGGTAAAGCAGGCATCCTGTCTTGTGCAAGGTACTCAGGAAGGAGGCCTGAGAAGACATTTAGTTAGAGACCCAAGGAGAGACACAGGCAAGTTAGGGAGCAGGAAAGGAATACTGACAAACATTTGGAGCCTGGAGTGTTCTGAGTACAGAAAGGAGGCGGCAGTGAGTTGAATGGTGGCCCCTTACCCTCCAAGATAATCCTACCCAGAACCTTCAAATGTGACCTTAATTGGGAAAAGGGTCTTGGTTGATACAATTAAGGATCTCTTGGGGCACCTGGGTGGCTCAGTCAGTTGGGCATCTGACTTTGGCTCAGGTCATGATCTTCTGATTCATGAGTTTCAGCCCCACATTGGGCTCTGTGCTGACAGGCTGGAGCCTGGAGCCTGCTTTGGATTCTGTGTCTCCCTCTCAAAATAAATAAACATTAAAAAAAAAGATTTCTTAATCATGAGATCATCCTGAATTAGGGTGGATGCTAAATCCAACTACAGGTGTCCTTAGGAGAGAAGACACAACAAGAAGACCATGTGAAGACAGGCAGAGACCAGAGGCAAGTCTACAAGGGCAAAGAATGCCAAAGGGTGCTGGAAGCCACCAGAAGATGGCAAGAGGCATGGGTGGAATGAATTCTTCAGTTTCAAGAAGGAATCAATCCTGCCAATACGTTGATTTCAGACTTCTGGTTTCTAGAATGGGGAGAGGATAAATTTCTGTTAAGACACCAAGTCATGGTCAGTTATCACGGCAGCCTCATGAAACAAATACAGAGGCCATGGTCAAGAGTATGGGTTTTATTCTAAGTGCAGCAGGAAATGATTGAAATGGCTGAAGCAGGAAGAGATATAACTGGGCTTATGCTTAAGTGGGTCTCTCTGGCTCTATGTGGAAAAAGAATCTGGGGGACAGGGAGTACATGGGAAGCAGGAAGGCCAGTGCAAAAGGTCTGAAAGAACAATGGAGTCTTGCTCCTGGGTTCTAAACCAGCTGTGTGACCACAGGCAAGTTGCCTTACCTCTCCACCATTCAGTTTCTTCAGGGCTAAAAAGAATACCTCTCCTGGTAGAGCAGCATTACATGATTTACTCCAGGTAAATGCCTAAGAGGGAACGTGGCCCATGGTGTGGGCTTGCTGCATTTGCCATTCTTCTCACAAGAGGCCATGGAGGAGGAAGAGAGGGGACAAGACGACCACTCACAGACTCGGGCTTTGGACTGGGGTACTGTCACAGGGAGTGGTGCTATGAACTGTGGGGGAAGTGGGCGGGGAGGAGAGATCACAGTTGGGAAAGGATCAGGTCCAGGAGAAGACCAAGGGAAGTTGGCGGACGAGGCCTGTTAAGACCAAGAGAAGTTGGCGGGGACTTTTAAATCTGTTTTTTGCTTGTCACCATAAGCCTATTCCCTTTCTGGTCATTCTACCATTGCCTGCCCCACGGGATGCTGTTAGATGACAGAGATCAGACATAAAGACTTCCCTCTCAGGGATGTGTCAGCACCCATAACCATCCGATGTGCTGAGACTCACATACCCCTCAGCAGCCTGTTTGTGGTAGCCTGACAAATCCCCCCATTCCTCAATGATAAGACACAGGAAGAGGGTCAATGAGAGGTAAAGTCCATGACCATCTCTCTCTCGAGACCACTGAGTCTGGAGGGATGGGGTGAAGACCCAGCCCGTGAAATCCCACCGCAGGTCAGGCTAGGGAGGCACGTTAACTTGGCTTTCTGAACTAGGGGGTCTTTAGGAGTGGGTGGGCAGAAAGCGACTGGGATGGGAACAGTAGGTAAAGCCAAGGCACGGGGGTGCCTTTGCCAATATCATGCCAAGAAAGGAGTCAGGGACCTTAAAAGTTGTACCTAATGCATCTGTTCAGCACTTGATGACATCTTATTCTTGTAAGCGTTGTCCTTACCTGAATACAATCCAATTGTCAACCGTCTCGGGGCACAGAGTCTTTCTGGCATTTAAGGGTTCTGATATGCCCCTACTATGACATTCCTGGGTGACACCTGGTATGGAGTACAGTGCCAAAGGAGACCAATCCTTGGCTAGGGTACAGGAGCTCAAGATGCAAACGGGAAGCATCCATGACAGCTAACCCTTACAAACTGTGCCTTGCTCTTAACAAAGCCTTTCTGTGTAAATCAGCCTCCTCTGAGTGTGAGTTAGGGGGCAGAGCACACAGTCTCATCCCATCCCCATTCTTCCATTACTGCTAATATGGAGAGGGGACATATACTAAAGATAGACCATGTACTCTATATGCATGCCTATGTAGGAGTCCAGCTTCAGAGACACAGGTAATAGCCATCAGCTGCTATAGGGAGTGGCCCTGGGACTTGAAGCCTTCTCTGTTTTCACTTTGAAGTCCAGCTCTTCCCTCCATACTGTGCCAGCTTCCTTTAATGGTGGAACTCACGTCCAGAGGGGAGAAGGGGCTTCCTTGAGGTCACATGACCAACAACTAAGCAGGCCCAAATCTCCGCATCTGGATCCCAGATCCAGAGCTTTCCTCTCAGGGCCAGAGGTGGAACTATTTTAACTTCCTCACAGAACCACGACTAAACAGAAACCTCTGTTAATTTCTCACCATTTAGCTAAACAGGCTTTCTAACATCTACACATCTGTGATGGGTACTTTTAGGTGTCGACGTGACTAGCCACAGGGTGCGCAGGTGGAAGGTTATTTCTGGGTGTGGCTGTGAGGGTGTTTATGGATGAGGCTGGCATGCGGATCTGTGGACACAGTAATGTAGATGGCCCTCCCTAATGGGCATCATCCAGTCTCTTAAGGCTTGAATAGAACAAAAGGCAGAAGGATGAGGAATTTACACACAAACCCTGCTCCCCCTACCCCCACTAGGATGGCTCCTCTCATCTTCTCTTGCCCTCCTGCTGGGATTTACACCATCAGCTCCTGTGGTTCTCCAGCCTTCAGACCTTGACTGGATGACACCACCAGCTTTCCTGGGCTTCCGACTTGCAAATGGGAGCTCATGGGACCCCCTCAGCCTCCATAATGATATGAACCAAGTTCTCACTGAGAATCATACATATATTCGTTGATTCTGTTTCTCTGGAGGATCCCAGTATATAGCCTCCATGCTTTTAATTAAGAAGTCATTCCTGAAAGATTAAAGACCCACCTATTATTTTTCAGCCACTCTGCTAAATACTGGAAGGAAAAGTTTTAACAAGACACAGTATGTGATGCCAATTCTTATAGCACTACTAGGGGAGAAATAGTGTTCTTGACATTGACTAAACTGTGAGCATGTTTTCCTTTAATCAGGAAGTTCTTGACCTTGGCTGCCCATTGGGTTCACCTGGAGAGATTTAAAACCTCCAGTCCCTGGGTCCCATCCCCAGAATTTGTGAATTAATTGGTCTGAGCTACAGCCTGGGCTTCAGGATTTTTAAACACAGGAGGGATTTGCTCATTATTCATCAACACGACTTAATTGTGGATATGAAGCATTTCTGTTCAGTCATAATTTATAACTTGCTCATTTTCAAAGTGAATGTGATGAAGTTGATGGCACACAGGACATGACACAGACCCTTAAGAAATACTAAGAATGGGAAATTTCAGAGAAGAGAAACACCTGTGGGCAAGGAGTTGTTATAATTAAGCACAAAATCTACCCCTGAGTTTTCTGGAGCAAATGTACCAAGAACAAGAGGGGTCATGGTGTCATCTAGGTCAATAAAAGGAAGCCTATAAGATAAAAAAAACAAACCAAAACAAAACAAAAAAACCCAAAAAACTATTTTCTCTCAAACAGTTCTAAGACAACCCGTGAAAAGTATCTGGATGAAGGATGAACAGGACAGCTGAACTCACAGGTGCTTTGTGACTCATCAAAAAGCCAGATCAGCTAAGAGCCAGTCTAAAGGTGGGCGTCTCTTTCTGAAGGTCCCCAGGCTTCCCCAGAATGCCCCCTGACTGAGGAAGCCTGCAGGCTAGGGGAGAGTGTCACCCAGCTGTCTCAGGAAAGCTTTCTAGCAAGGTCCACACGAGGACTAAGGAGCCAGAACTCGTGGTATCCGTGTTCACAGAAAGAGCTCTGTCCAAGGGGAGGTGGCCTATGACACACACGCACAACACCCCTGCACCCTGGGGCCCTCGGAGGGACTTTGTCTTCCTCGAGCTCACATTCTCCGCAGGGGACAGCCCCTCCTTTGCCTAAGGCAGGAAGAGCTGAGGCTGGGGAACCCCAATGAAGGCAACCTGGAGAATGCCTGCTCAAAGGGAACTTACGGGGGGTTGTCACATTTCCTCTGCCGGAAGCGGGCTCCCGTCCCACACGTCCGGCTGCACATGCTCCACGTGCCCCAGGGGCTCCAGTCTCCGTCCACGTGCTCCGGGATGGGCGTCTTGCTCACACACTCCCCTGCGCGGCACCACTGAAACACAGCAGGGGGGCCACGGCCCCAGGGGCCCTCAGCGTGCAAGGATTGAACCTGCGCACTCCCCCCAGTAACTTGCGATTCCCACCACGTGACAAAACACCGTGCCGCCCCAAACCATCTTAACCGTCTTTTGGAATTCACCAGCGGACCGTAGGGGCTTGTGTGCTGGTTGGCCAGAGCAACCTTCCTTCCTCACCCAACGTGACACCTATGCACCTGCGGCGTTTGCAGTTTGCCCTCAAATTCCACGCGGAGTGTGCTCCGTTGGAGTTTTCGAAGTTCTCAGAAAAAGGATTTGTTCACATGGCTTGTGGAGAGACCTGAGCTCCTGCCGACTTTCCTGAATAGGAGTGCCTCTCTCTGGAAGGCTGTCTCCTGGCCCTGTGGTTTCGAACTTCAAAGCTGGGTCTGGTGCTTTGGAGAAGATACTGTAAGTTCCACATGGGGGAACCCTGGTTCCTAGGATAAGGGAAAGCCAAGCCTCTAAACTGGAAATTTCCCAACGTGTGTGGCACATCCGGGGCAGGAGAGGTGATTTTTGTGGTTCCCAATCACAGCATCTCATTCATTTCTTGCAGGAAGACTAAGGAGAAATCTGCCGCTGTTAGCCCTGAACACTTCTCTTCTCCAACACAAATCTCTTTGGTTAATGACGATAGGCCTATAGGCTCGCTCTCTCGTAACCTCCAGCTAGAACTGGATAACACGGTTCTCATAGAATTTACTTTATGATAGCCTTTCGTGTATGGCAAATGATCCTGTTTTTCTATGTGTGGTTTATTGATGTGAACGTTTTAAGTAAATTCACTTGTATGACAAAAAGAGTTGATTGAACAGAAATAGTAAGTGGTTCTTGTATCTTATCAGCAAAAAAGAGAGGTGATGTGGGTGCCCCTCTTTTCCCAGAGTGGGCTCCATGGGCATTTCTGGGGCAGCCCAGGGGGTGCTTCAGGTACTCCTGAGCACAGTACAGACCACTGCCCTTCAGGAGAGATGCCCAATGCCCAGGAGATGGGGCTGGGGGAGGGCAGTGGGAGGTGGGGGTTACCTTGTCTGCCCCACACTCAGTGCCGTCCAGGGGAGGGTCCAGCTTGGTCTTGCAGGACGTATCTCCTTCCACCAGGCACCACAGTCCAGCGCACATCAGATGCTGCTGACAAGGGAAGGAAGGTAACTGCCTAGAGCACTGCACACAGGTCACTACTGGGGGTGGAAGGTGGGGCCTGATGACAGGTTTGGATTGGGAATTTGAAACATGATGGGAAGGAGGGTCATGAGTCTGGATGTTAACAAATATATATACATGTGCATCATTCAACTGGTTCATTTTAACTCAACAAAATTCTGTGCCTTTATTCCCCATACTTGTCTCATGGGGATTCACTTCAGCAATTCTTGCATTAGCTATTGAGGGTTGAGGATTTGTCCAACGGATGGCGCAGGCTGGGAGCCATTAACAAACACATACCTTCCATTTAATGTAGGAAGGTACGAGGCAGATATCCATGGGTCAGACTGAGTGCAAGGGAAAGGAATCTCCCCATCCTCGCCTCATCAAGGAGGGCTTGCCGGAAGAGACAGCTTCGGAGCTGAGGCTGGAGGGGCCATTGTGCAGGCCCAGAATCAAGACCCCCCACGGGGTTAAAGGTTTTCCATTCTCCCTGTAGTCATCTGCTTTCTAGCTCTGCTGCGTTATGCCTAATTTCTTATAGTGTTTCACCTAAAGAATTTCTCAACATGCACAAATATACAATTAAAATAATTCTACTTAAGAATAGGCATTTGACCAAGGGATACAGAAATGCTGATGCATAGGAGCACATGTACCCCAATGTTCATAGCAGCACTCTCCACAATAGCTAAAACATGGAAAGAGCCTAAGTGTCCATCAACAGATGAATGGATCAAGAAGATGTGGTTTATCTATACCATGGAATACTACATGGCAATGAGAAA